ATAATAAGCTCATACCAACCTTGTGGAAAGACACCAGCGGCCTCTCCAGTCCCCGGTGGGCATTTAGGTGAAGGAGTTCAAGAATTAAAGTGACAAATTATGGTTTCAATGTCTTATTGCCTTGACTTTATAAGCACAATTATGGGCTGCCATCAAACACAATAAAAATATACCATCAAATGCCAAGCTGAATGTAAGGAACTGTGTTTGAAATGGAATACTTGCCACTTACTGAATACTTAGTATACATTGTATAATGCATACTATTTTACTAAAATAATATTTGAAACAGTATGCATTATGCAAGAACAAAACTTCTAAATAGCAGTATGCTACATTATCACATGAATTCATATTATACATAATGTATCCTGCTGAAATGGTGAGAGTATAATGTTAGTATGCTTTCCGAACTCAAGCATGGGAGTACTTGTGGGACGTTACTCATGTGACTTCAAGGAAGAGTTTCCTCAAACTATTCATGCACAGAATCCTACACTACATAGTAATTTCTCAAGGGTTTAACATTGTTTAGAAATACCATTATTTTTACTTTAAACTAGCAATAGACACCACTGGATTTGGTGTTGACATCAAAGCTCAAACATTATGTGTGGTTACTTTGAAGTCTGTGTGGCATAACACTGAGGCCAGATTCGCCCTTGACCCATATAAGCCACTTTGTCTGAACTTAAACATCCACCATGGTTCAGTGAACTAGGCAAAAACATTCATCTTCAACTTATCTTTTGCAACCCATTTAACTTCCACATTGTGACATATTTGAAAATGGAAAAAAGGGTATTGTTGGACTTTTTATCTACTGTTGAACCATTCCCTGATAAACCACTGCTCGCTGCCAATAATATTTTAGGAGGGGCCATATACGTAAAATTTAGCAAGAAAATCTGCTACACAACTTTTGTTATGTAGTTTGGAAAATTTGGTGGGGTTAAAAAGCAATCTGGTGTAGCACTACTCTTAATCATGTCATATTTCGACTCTGTCGCACTTGCAGGAGATGAGGCCATTTGAACTTGGCTTTGTGATGGCATGCCTCAAGAATTCCTGTCCTAGTTTTGGTTCCTGAACTCTGTGGCAGTGCTAATCTTTCCATAGATAATAAAAAAAAAGATTTATTTTTGTCTTCATGAAATTTACCATGATAAAACTACATTGCCTATGATTTATTAGATAATCCTTAGGGGCAAGGTGGGATGCATCACTAGCAGAATGAATTACTTTGTAATATTAAAACCACATGAAACCCAGGGCGTTGTTACGTTAAACCCAGCTGTGTCTTTTTGCTTTGCACCTGCTATTAAAATTTATATGTGTACATTTCTAAGCTTGTTTGACTTAACAATCATCTTGACATTGCTGCCATCTCTCAAAATAAAACACCTACATCCCTAAACATTTATGTGAATGAGCAACCAACAACAGATAAAGTTAAATAATTTAACAAGTCACACAAAAAAATGTGAAAAACACATAAATCTGGCTGTTATTGTCCAAGCATGTTGTTTTGCACTAGGATTCCGTTTCATTGGCATCTGGAAAAAGTTTTCACATCATTGCACTTGCCATTATGTGTAACAATGTAATTTGTTTGAACAGTTTACATAAAAAAAAATTAAATGGCATGCACTACTAGTGTAAATTTCTATCCTAATGTGTCCCCTACCTTAATTTTAGCAGGTCCAAACATGAGGGTCCACAGAAGCTCTGTTGGGCTGCACTGAGGATGCTTGCGTTGACTGGGCCGCACTGCTGTGTGTCTCTGAGAGTGTTATAGCCTGTCAGCGTTTTTAAGGCATCTCCCTCCTGCACTCCCAAACTCAGCATGCCATGAGGAGCCAGGAAAAAAATGCAGGAAAGGAGGAGAACGGAGGGAGGAGCATGGAGGCATCCAAGAGGGTGGGTGAAATGAAAACAACAAAAAGGACAAAGTGAAAAGAAAAGAAACCTTCCAAAAAAAAAAAGGGGCCAGAGTGGACCAAATGGATAGAAGGAAATGCACAAGGCTATGGAGAGAGAGAGAGAGAGAGAGAGAGAGAGAGAAAAGAGCAGCCACCACCTTGTTCCCAGACTTTTCAGACAAATGTTAAGTAGCTGCTGACAGTTCCAGAGAACCTTTTAAAGAACAAGATTAGCATTTTAATGACCCAAACATTTCAGATAATATTACAGGACTGTAAAAATAGCATTGTAGGCCTAATATATTGACAGCAAACTGAAATACACTGAAGATTATATGTAATATAATTTTGATTTGTTGACAGTTTGCTCTTTTTAACTTGGTCTAGAATGCCTATATCATCAGTTAAAGCTGAACTTTAAGTCACTATATTTGATAGGTCAGTATTTACTACCTACTGTATGAATCATTTAAAATGTGTAAATGTAGAGGATAATTTAGCTAATATTGGCCTTTTTTGTGGCTAAAGAGAGCCATTAGCTTAACCACATGAAAAAGAACATTGTTCCAAGGCATTCAGTCACAGGCAATCACAAAATATTCTGACCATCTCTGTAATTTAGCCAGATTGGCTGTTTTGTGTCGTGAAGGGCACAGTTGCAAATACTTTTTTTCTTTTTGTTTTTTTTTTTGTGTATTTTTAACTTATTCAATGTTAATTTTATTTGTTTAAAATATTTAGTTTGTTACCAGTTTTGCAGAAACATTCATATGTAGGTACAAGTTTTATTTGTCTACAAAATATTTATGTAATTTTAATTCAAGCCTCAACCTTCGGACCTTTAAAATTGTTTTTCAACATTAAGGGACACGTTTGTCAGCATTAGTATTTATATGTCTAACTTTTAGCTGATTGTGTACCATTTATAATAATGGTTTAAAAAAAGTTTATGTTAATGTTATTTATCAACTAACTTTATACTGATCAACTTTCAATCAAAAAGGGGGAAAAAAGGATACTGTTCAAACATTGTTTGTAATCAGATCCAGGCTCTCCATGCTTCCCATGTTTATAATCTCTGCAAAGTGCTTTTCTTCCCAATCACCCGATTCATCATGACATGAGGCGTGTGGTTACTGTTACTGAGAAAATACCATATGTTTAGGTTTATGTGCATGCTAAATGGTTCAGTGGTAAACATGACTGAGGAAATTGCTGTCTTCTAAATTGTATATAAAGCAGTCTAAGCAAATGAGGGTCTTTAAGTACATGAGCACATAAGGCTAAGGTCATCATTTGAAGGATTTTTCTTAGGACTGTGGATCTAGATATTGTCCTACATGTATTTTCATATTAAAACTAGGGCTGGTAAACGATTAAAACGTTTTATCTAATGAATTACATGATGTGGCGATTAATTAATCTAATTAATCGCACATCAAATTTGGCTGAGAAATTACTCCCAAAATATAATTTAAAGTCATTGTTGTGTAAAGCATCAAACAGACATTGCAAAAAGTAGCTTCAGCAAGAAAAAATTTGTTTGATTCAACATAAAATTTATTACATATACTCTTTTGGACCACGAGGGTGAGTAAATGATGACAAAATTTTCAGTTTTGGGTGGGTGAACTATACTTTCAATAATTACATCATGCAGAGAAATATTAAGCTTGCAAAATATGCTTAAAAAATAGCACAAAACTGACCTGTGTTGTTGACTTTTTTTTCCCTGCTCTGTTTGTTTCTGCTGTTTATATCAATGAACACTAGATGTCCTCATTAGCAAATAAATCTTGCTACAAACAAAAACACTTCTGTCCACGATCATTAAATAAGGATCTGTAGAGTTGCTTCTCTAAACAAGGCAAATATTAAATCGTTTTGATTTGTTTATTATTTTTGGTCACTACATAATTTACCATACACCCATTTACTTTAAAATGTGTTAAATAATAATAATAATAATAATAATAATAATAAAGAAAAAAATACGGCTTTTTATTACCTTGGAAGTCTGATAAAAAATACTCTTTATATTGTTATTAATATTTTATATAGTGTTTAATATTTTAATATTTATGTCATATTTGTTATTACCACAGTAAACAAAACAAGCGTTTCCTAGCAACGACAACTGCGCTAAACACTGAGACAAGAAATAAATACACTTACAAGCTGCTTTTAACTTCTGCTGTATATCTTACCGTAACTATTTGTAATGTATTTTTAGGCGAGTACACAGTAGAGATCACCATTTAAACTAGACCTTTAATCTAAAAAAATATTATAAAATCAGGCTTTCAGCTCTTTCAAAAGCTCAGTTTTTTAGTTACTCCGAGATGAGCGTTGAAGAATACGTGCAAGCCACACGCAATCTGCAGGAAAGCGTTACAGCCATGTGACCGTGTCCTGATTGGATCCTGTGTGACCAAACGAAAGAGCTCCGCCAATCAGCGAGAGGGTGGGCGTGGCCAGGACCCTGCAAACAGCAAACACTTGAGAGGGTACAAGATGTTACTGTTCCACTACTGTCCCACTGCCTTGATTATTAGGAAGCGTTTGCCTCATCGTGCTACAGGGGCCCGGTCAATGGACAGTCGGCTGGACAGACATAAGAGCAAAACAGATGGAGCACGAATTACAGAGATGACGCGTTGTTTTAAGATTTTAAGCCTAGTGTTTTTCCAAAGCATTTACGATTTGAAATTGTATGTCTGTTGTTGGACCGAAGTATGCGAAGCCAAATATCAGTTTTCTATTTTTATATTATATTTCTATTTATGTTACTATTATTTTGTTTTATTATCCTTTTAAAACCAATAATAAGCAATCGAATTGTTATTTGCGCCTTCCCGAAATGCAATGCGGAGTGAAAAGATCGTGACGTAACTCCTCATCTATAATTTTAGTAACATTAAATATGGACGTTGAACAATTTAAATACACACTAAGAAATGCACACCCCTGGTCAATATAAATGTGACAAAATAGATACTAACTGTTAGTGTAACTTTAAGGAATTTATGTTTGATCGATACTGACGACCTAATGAAACTCATCCAGCGGTTCTCCCACGTGACCATGGCGAGCGAGGCGTTGCCAAGTGGAAGTGACGTCACGGCGCTAGTTCGTGTTCACCACAGGAGATACGAATACGAGGCCTGTGACAAGCTCCTGCGACGGGGGTCCGCTGTTAAAATCCACCTCCATCTTGCTTATCCTTGGGGATAACGATGACCAAACCGACAAGAGCATAATCTACAGACTCTAAGCTTTCGCCTGATCACAATATTGTGATATTTCGGACTTAAATATATTAGAAAAGGAATGGTGAAAAGTGAACTCCGTCGGAAGAATCCGAATTCTCCTCAGGGATTCGGGGGGGTGGGGGTCGCATAAAGATATATAGGATCGCAACAGTTAAACAACGCGGAAAAAATTTAAGATAAACACGAATTTAAAGGCCGACAGTATCTGGTTTTATAGAAATTAGCTGAAATACAATCAAGGGACTCGTTCGAGAGACACCAATAAACACAGCGATGGAGCTACGAGTTGGAAACAGATACAGACTGGGTAGAAAAATTGGAAGTGGATCATTTGGAGACATTTATCTGGGTAAGTATAAACTTAAACACACGTATACACTCTTGTCATAAAGCTGTCAATAATATAGCACGGCTAACAAGCTGTTTTGTTTCACATATCTGTCAGCTGTAACTGTCAGTGGCGTTTTTCCAAAGATTGACTCGTTATAGTCTGCTTGTGAGGTCCGTTTCTCGGTTCTAAGGGCATTTATATGAAAAACCATGTTTTATAACCATGACAAGAACGTATTTCAGACCACAAGTGGTTTATTGAAGTTGCAGAGTATATAAACTTTACATCCCGTTTGGAACAACACTCCAGGAGGTCATACGTGACCATAAAAATATGTGCTTTTGACATTAGACTCAGATGTCAGTGGCATAAGATAGAATACAACACTTGCTGTAAATTGATGTGTGATTTCACGGAACCTGTGAACAGGAGTTTCCAAACGGGTCCTCCCTTGTGTATAACTGAATGAATCTTACCTGTCCATACAGGTTTCCCTGAAAGCGTGAACCACAACAAAAGGCCAAACCTGGCATGTTGAATCACCCTATGACGGACATTCAACCAAGCCTGGCTGATGCTTTTGCAGTCTATTAAAAGTCAGATCATACTATCAAGGCTCATGATTCATGCAGTCTCATTTTTCTGATCACAGGGTCATGGTGCCTTTTGGGGAAACAATTTTGATTGATGAAGCTGTCCTGAAGCAGCACAGTCAGGAACCAGAAGAACTCTTTATTTACATGCTAGATGGCCTTCATGGTTGAGAGCGTCAGTATCACACCAGGATGTCGTCGATCATTTGAGTATCTACGGTTGACATTTAGAGATTGTATTGATGGCTATAGAGAGCCATTGTTTTGTATTGCAATACAAGGCACCAAAGTAGGTCATTGTTTTTCGTTTATACTCTTAACAGTTTATACTCTTAACTTTAGTAGTACTCTTAACCACCTTAGCATTTAATTTTCGACTCAAGACTGTGATTAAATGTACTTGTGTAGAGCAAGATGTGACGTTCATCTCTTATTCAGAAGGCATTAAAGGAAGTTTTGCAGCTGCTGGCCTTAATTCTTCTCGCTGTGGTCTCCTCATTAACAGGGTTCCTCTCACATGGATTGAAACCTGTGGACAGAATGTTGAATTTAATCAAAGCTCCTCCAAACATCAGGCTCAAATGCAATCAGCTTCCTTTATTTTGACAGAGAAGCACTGTTGGCAAGGGGACTTTGATCATCATAGTGTTAAAGTGTGGTGGGGAGACCTTTATCCCGAAGCTTTTTAGCTGAGATGGGATTGTTTCAGTCTGTCTGTGTGTGAGAACAGGGCTTGGTGGGTGTGGTGTGTAAACTCCATCTGCTCAGTTGTTTCATAACTGCACCCACTCTTTGGTACGTCAACATAATTAAATGCTTTTTTGATTTAATGCCTAAATGTCAGGTGTGATTCTGACGCAGTGCTATTGGAAGATCTTCAGCACATGACTGTGTGTGAAATACATTGAAATCATCTGCCGTATCATTAGCATTAGAGGTTCAGAAGATGAAACCCAACCAGATTTGACTCATTGCATCATGTTACACTGCTTACTGCCCTTACAAATCATCCGACAGTCAGCGTAAATGCAACACCTCTTCCTTTTTCTCAGGATTCCGTAATATTTGCGTCACTTGGCGTCATGGGAGGCCTCAGGTGTGTGAATCACCCAGGACTGTCCCACTCCTCTACAATTCTGGCTCCTTTACATCAGCTTTTATGTAACCTCAGAGTGTTTGGTTTGGATTAATGATGTGGTGATGTTTGTAGGTTTGGACAGGATGCCACTTCTGTAACTTCCCTTCATCTTTCGACACCAAAAGTGGAGATCTCATTTAGCTATCAGGCTGCATTTTGCATTTAGCACCTTATCAGATGTTTGACATCTATTTTTCATGTGAGTTTCGAGCACATGGAGTTTCATGTCCATATCCAATATGGGCCCATCAAGAGTCAGCTGTTGGATAGGCACTTGTTTTTCTTTCTTTTTTTCTTTTTTTTTTGGGGGGGGGTGAACTCTTGCATAACACTGCCTTATTTTTGGTTTTCTTTATCATTGCAGTAGAGCTGATCTGTAGCCACAGCAGAACCATTGTTGTTTACATTGTTCATTGGCAGATATAGGCTTGGACCTGCTCCCCATTTGAATGTTTTTCTCGTTTGATCTAAATGTAGTCATGGGGTACTGACTGTTTGCGCTCTTTGACTATATGTGTCTGATTTGCTGATTAAGTTCTGCATAGACCTGACTTGCATGACGTGAGTTTCTTTGCTATCAGCTGAGATGAACATTATCCTATGCTTGTTTGTTTTTTAAATATCTCAGAAACCAGCAAAACAAGTCCTTGAGTTTCTGTTCAGACAACAGTGGGTAGCAGTTTCAGTTTCAAAACTGATTTGTTTTGCTCATTGGACACAAATTAAGATTTTGCAGAATGTCCAGAGTAGTTTTTTTTTTGTTTTTTTTCCCTCACAAAAAAAGAGCATTATAAAAAGTATTCATATCATATGACTTGTGCAATATATTCCAAATCTAAACCAATTATATTCCCAATATATTATTCCCTTAGAATCTCCATTACAGCTCTCAAATCTTGTTCACCTTGTTCATCTTGTCCCTATAAAGTTATTAAACAAATACTTTGTTCTCACAGTTTAACTTTTTTTCTGGATTTTGTTTTAATGGTTTATCCAAATCTAAACCAATTATATTCCCAATATATTATTCCCTTAGAATCTCCATTACAGCTCTCAAATCTTGTTCACCTTTGCCGTCAGTAACAATGTAGTAGGTCCCTATAAAGTTATTAAACAAATACTTTGTTCTCACAGTTTAACTTTTTTTCTGGATTTTGTTTTAATGGTTTAAATAATAAGAAAGTTCATAATCAGTTTTTCTGGATTCTGTATTTTATGATTGAATAATAATGTATTACCGTAACGGTGGTAAACAAATAAATGACTAAAACTATTTAATTAATCTTTTAAAATGTAATCAAATGAAATTTGAAAAATTATTTTCCTTTTTTCTGGCAAACAAAGTTCTTCATGACAGAGGTTTACGGTTTAAATTAAAGCATGGGGGAAAAAAGCAACGACAGACACTGAAAGCACCATGAGTATATGTAGTGGACAAAACTGTGCCGTTCATTTACACAAAGACACACGGAACAAGCATACTTCATATTTTAATGAGTATTCTTGCAGTTTAATATTTACAGAAACTAGTCCATGTTGCATTTTGATTAATTGTACAGGCCTGTTCTTGATTTATTCATTTAAATTTTGCCAAATTCTGAGACATTAGCTGTTGTTTGGTAAATTCCCTTTTATGACTGAATTCACAGTTTCCGTCTGTGTTTTGCACATTGCGAGAATCATAGGGCCCTATAATAGCCAAGATGCTTTGTACCAGGCAGGTCCTTTAAGATAAAGATAAGAATTCTTAAAAAAAAATTTTTTATTTGCATTGACTGTCTTGGAGAAAGGTTCGGACTTATGGATCATTGTATGACTGAATTTGCTGAAATAAATTAATGCTTTTGTTCAGCAAGGATGCATTAAATTGATCAAACTTTTGAACAGTAGTGTATGCACAAATTATAAAGGTCAATTAATTTATATATAGAGTCATGTCAGTTTGTTGGAGATTCAGGCTGTGTTCTGACTTCATTCACTGTTTTAATGGCTCTGTTCCTTCTCTGTTTCTCACTCTGCCCTAGGCACAGACATTTCAGTTGGAGAGGAAGTGGCCATCAAACTGGAATGTGTGAAGACAAAGCACCCGCAGCTCCACATTGAGAGCAAGATATACAAGATGATGCAGGGTGGAGGTAATGAGAAAAGGGTTTTGATTCATCTGTAAATAAGGATTTGAGGGGCTCAATAAATCAATGTAATCAATGAAATAATTCATACTTGCCAACAAGCATCTATTGGGTTTCCAGGCTGTGTATTTAGGTGTTTTGTGTGCTCCCTTTGCAGTTGGCATTCCTACTATAAAGTGGTGTGGTGCAGAAGGAGATTATAACGTGATGGTGATGGAGTTGCTCGGCCCCAGTCTGGAGGATCTCTTCAATTTCTGCTCCAGGAAGTTCAGCCTGAAGACTGTCCTGCTGTTGGCTGATCAGATGGTATGATACAAAATCATGTTGACGAGTAAAAAATAGTTTGCTGCAGAAGTACAACTTCTTTTTAATGTTTTTTTATTTTTTTGTAAACCTTGCATTCCTCAGATTAGCCGCATTGAGTACATCCACTCCAAGAACTTCATTCACAGAGATGTGAAGCCTGATAACTTTCTGATGGGCTTGGGAAAGAAAGGCAACCTGGTCTACATCATTGACTTTGGTCTGGCCAAGAAATACCGTGATGCACGAACACACCAGCACATTCCCTATCGTGAGAACAAGAACCTGACGGGCACTGCGCGTTACGCATCCATCAACACACATCTTGGCATTGGTAAAAAACACATTCTCTTCAGTTAGTTTGTAAATTTGACTGTGGCATATATATATATATATGTGTGTGTGTGTGTGACCCAGACCTGGGATGATTTTAAAATTTTTGTCATGCATTAAGCTGAAAGACTCTATATAATTGTTCTTATTGCTTTTGTTCTTGTTATTATATGTGTTTTTGTATATTTGTACATTTATTTATTTATTTATATAATTTTCAAACAAAACTGTTATATAATTGTTTTGAAATGATATACATGACTGAATTGTGAAATTGAAATGTTTCCTCTTGCCATGAATATAGCCACTGCTGCTGACATTGCGTTAAATCATAAATAAATATGTAACCCAGATTTCTTGTCATAGATAGTGCTGCTCTGCCAAGGGCTGCACGACAATGAATGAATTTATTGTCATATGATTTTTTATTTAATTTAATTTTTTACATTTAGTATTTCAGCACGTTCACATTAGTACAAATATCAACTCGTATTTAATTTACCTCATCTAGTTTCCTGGTTAATTGTATCTAACAAATCATATAAATTAACACACTTTCTCTACATTGTAAAACCTGGTAAAACAAGAAGCTTCTCTCAAAAGCTAAATCTGTGAGATTCCTAATATTAACTCCAACAATTCCAACTTTTTATTAATGTTTTTCTATTAAAACAACAAAAAAGACTTTGTATTGTGACACAGATGTTGCATAAGTGCACCTATTCCACAACCACAACAGAGACCCATGTTTAGATTTAATTAGTTTGATAGATTTAGTTGTAGCAAATAGCATAAATGGCCATGTGAAGGAACACAGACTGGTTGTATTACACTTTCATTTGAGCAGAATATCTCAGTGGAGATCTCTAAACTCATACATGTTTACTGGTGTTTTTTGTTCCTCAGAGAGAGTGCATGCATAAAGTGCATGCAAGTATTACACTGGACAGAAAATTTATTCATTTAAACAAAAACTTTGATATCTGGAAACCCCAAGCATGAAAGCAGGTGGAAAACTTGTTACAAATGTAAGATAATGCCAAAGGACAAAAAATACTTTCAGGATAAATAACAAGTGGCCAAATATCACAGATGATTATGCTAAATTAATCAAGAAAAGCAGTAATCGCCATCACAATTAAAATTCGATTTATCGTCCAGCCCTAGCGACAGCTGTAGCTGTACTGATCATTTGACAAGCTTTCTTGATTCATTTTTCTTTCCCATTTCTCTACTGGCTCTGTATGACATCAGTGTGTGCTCATGCTCAAGTGGATGCATGTATATTTTTAGCATTTCCCAGAAAAGATTGATTTGTGTGTGTGTGTTTGCAGCAATATAAATGCTCATTCATGAATCATACAGTAGCAGTCATCCTTTCATGCTCCATGCAAGCATCTATAATTCTATGCGCGTGTCTCTACAGAGCAGTCTCGGCGGGATGACCTGGAGTCTCTCGGTTATGTGCTGATGTACTTCAACTTGGGCTCGCTGCCTTGGCAAGGACTGAAAGCCGCCACCAAGAGACAGAAGTATGAGCGTATCAGTGAAAAGAAGATGTCCACCCCCATTGAAGTTCTCTGCAAGGGCTACCCATGTATGTTCAAAGCCTTGTGTAATTTGTAACATTTTGTAAATGTTAATCAGACTTTGTCTTTGAAATGATGTCTACAATCCTGTATTGTAATATGGCTGTTTGTTTTGTGTCCCACAGCTGAATTTGCTACGTACCTCAACTTTTGCCGATCACTGCGATTTGATGACAAGCCAGACTATTCGTACTTGAGGCAACTCTTCAGGAATCTGTTCCACAGACAGGGCTTTTCCTATGACTACGTGTTTGACTGGAACATGCTCAAATTTGTAAGTACATGTCTGGATGGTCTTCGTTCTTTAGAGTGTGATAAATGAAACGTATGTTGCTTGTTGTAGTTTGTTCATTAGTGATATATGAGACTTAAACTGTTATTGATTTGGTTTGATTATTGTGTTGTGCAGAGGTACAACATTGTGTGTGTAGATGGTTGTTGCATTTCTGAGTTTTTAAATGTTACACCACATAAATCCACTTTTGTAATCCTTAATAGGATTAAAGTATTTGTTTGCAGCCATAATTGAAATAGGCAAAACGAAGATCACAGGCAAAGCAACAAAATATCATATCAGTATCATCCAAACATTTCTAAATCATTCATCCCTATTTCTAGTGTTCATGTCACTCACTTGATTGCTTACATTGACTGCAATAATCTGACTTTTGACTATTCTGAATTGCCATCATCTACACATGATTTTCCAGTTATTATAACTTCTAATTGTTAATAAAGGCATTATATTACAGTTTTAGTCACATTATTGAAGAAATTAAGAGCTTTATGATTTTGGTATATGATTCTTTATTTCGAACCCAAATGTGTATTATAGATATGCACTACCGTTCTAAATTGTGGGGTTGGTACAAATTTTTTTTTTTTTATAAGATAGTTGAAAAATGTCTCTTATGCTCACCTGCTGCATTTAATAAAGTAAAAACAGTAACATTGTAAAGTGTTATTACTATTTAAAGTAACTGTTTTGTAATTTTAATATGCATTTTAAAATGTAATTTATTACTGTGAAGGCAGAGCTAAATTTAACCTTCCAGCAGAGGAGGTGAAACTGGAGAGGAGAGAGCGAGACGAGCGGATGAGGCACAGCAGGAATCCTGCAGCTCGAGGGATCCCAGCAGCCTCAGGCAGACCCCGCCCCACACAGGACGGAGCTCCTCCCACACCCCTCACCCCCACCTCTCACACAGGTAAACAGTCTGTCACTTACCTCTCAGGTACTTGAAAGACTACAAGGAGTCATCTCATGCTTCTCACTATCTCACAGCAAACACATCTTCACCGAGACCGGTCACTGGCATGGAGCGCGAACGGAAGGTCAGCATGCGGCTTCATCGTGGCGCCCCAGTGAACGTGTCGTCCTCAGACCTGACAGGGCGACAAGACACCTCCCGCATGTCCACATCACAGGTATAATGCAGACCCTGCTCATTCAAGCCTTAAGCAGAGCAATAATAAACTGCATTACAAAAGTAGCCAGTCTGTATCTGAATGAGCTGTTTTGATATTTGGTTACCGAAAGAGATTTTACTCTGGCAGAACGAATAGTTCAGTGCCTCTGGCTTTGAATGGTTACACTAGGAATTCTTATTTCTACACATAAATTGTTCACAAAAATAAATACCTGATGAAATATTAGTACATCTTTTATTGCTTGCAGTAATTGACCTTTTGATTCTCATGATCTCTTTTAGAGTTTTTGACTGGTGACATTTAACTTAAAGTTGAATCTGCTTATTAGATAGTTGAAAAGCCTTTTCTAGGAACCTGTTGACCTAACGTTTGTGTTTCTGGGAAAAGTCATTTCAGCAGCATATTTTTTTTTCAATATGACAGACAGTAGGCATTGTATGATTATGAGTTGGTGTGAGCAGTGTGTCAGTGCACATGTGATTGTGTTTAAGGGTGGTGGAAGTCTGTAATGTTCTCTCTCTTCACCTCAGAATAGCATTCCCTTCGATCACCACGGCAAGTAGTTGATCGTCACATCCTTGTGTGAAGGCAGGTGCACCAGGTGAGTTTGATTAGCTTGTGGTAACTGCACATTGCCTTGTTTTCTACCAACTGGGTGACTCTCATGTGAACTGTCATACACTTTTAAAATAAAGGTTCTAAAAGGGGGTTTTGCATCTCTGAATAGTTCTTTAAAAAAAAAAAAACATTTTTCTTAGTGTGAAGAACATTTTAATAATCTGAAGAGCCTTTTACTACTAAAAAAAAAATGCAGAGGAAATGTTCCTTGGATATTAAAGGTTCTTCCTGGAATTATAGATTATGGAATTATATATATTTTTTTATAGTGTATTTCAAAATAAAAACAAGTTTCACAATCTTTAAGATGTTAAGACTAAGAATTTTCATTGTGCATTCTGTGCTTTTTCGTTGTGATTTTTCATTAATTGACATTTAAATGCTCCTCCCCAGTTACCAGTTATCTATTATAATGTGAGAAATTTTGCAAAAGTTTAATTTTCTTTACTGTAATAAACTGAGAATTGTATTTGTGAAAGTTAAGTGGTAAAGAATCCTATACACATATATACATACATACATATATATATATATATATATATATATATACACATATATGCATACATATATACACTTATACAGTGTATATATACTGGTCAAAAACCAAGACTGTTTCTTTGATCAGAAATGCATTGAAAACACCAATATTGTGAAATATTACATTTTGAAATCGCTATATATTGTGTATACAATTTATTCATGTGATGGCAAAGCAGAATTTTCCATCAGTCACGACTCCAGTCTTCAGTGTCGCGTGATCCTTCAAAACCATTCTAATATGCTAATTTGGTACTCAAGAAAAAAATTAATCTGAATGTTAAAAACGGTGGAAACTGTTATGCATTTTTTTTTTTTTTTTTCCAAATATATATCTTTTGTAACGATGTGGAAGTCTTTACTGTCACTTTTAATCAATTTAATGTGTCCTTGCTAGTGTTGATTTAAAAAAAAAAAAAATCACTGAATACCCACCCAATATGCACACACATTTGATTACTAATATTAAAACCATTTTTTATCATTTATATCTTAATTTTGGCTTAAAATATGACCCAGACAGTTTTGTGAGATTCATTCTGTTATAAAATACATCATTCTTTAAGTCTTTTTAAAAGACTCTTTTGGTCAGTGGCAGTTGTCATTTATTGGGTGTCTCTTTCTCTTGTTGCTCTTTACAGATTGTCTCCATGTCCCAGAAGCCTCCACTTTGCAATATGGAGCACGATGGGCAACCTAACTACACACAGCTGATTGACCACTCTCCACCATCAGCTAATAGATAGGGCGTCAGTCTCTTTCTTCTATTGACCAAACCAAAATGGTGTAGAACCAACCTGACCTCTTTGCTTACAGGCTCTCTCTACTCTTCTTCTTATCTAATTTTCTCATATTTTCTCCCCCACTCTCTTTAAATGTTCTCGTGGACATGAGAGCTACAGCCTGTTGCGAATTCACACCAGTGGGTTGACCAATCAGAGACTGGATCAGCCAGCCACACCATTGTCATCTCCTGCTTCCTTCCTTCCTTCCTTCCTTCACAGTTCCACTCTTACACATTCAGTGCTGCACAACTTTCTCTGGTTCAGGCTCCTCGCGATTGAGGCTAATGTATCGTCTGTGTGGTTTAAATGGGTCTTTTTGTTTCTTTGTATACTGAGTTTTCTTTTGTATTTTAACCTGGGCAACAGACGAGTCCGTCTGGTGGCGTTATGGGTTCACTCAGTTTTTTTTATTTACTCTGTATTTATTTTTTAATATACATTTTAATAACTCTGTAGCTGGTGAGGTTCCTTTCCCACGGTGAAGCTGGTGGTATAGAGTGGACTGACCACAAAGGGGCCAGAATCTCAGCATACATCGCTCATAGCAAACGGACTCCACAGTGTGGTTTTCACTCGTACATGTCCTCACAGAGGGACCCTATGAACCTCGCTTGTTTGTCTGCTATATTGATCTCTTTAACTGTACAATACTGCCTCCCCCATTATTTTGTCTCTTCTGTTTCTAAGCTGTGAAATAACTAAAATAATCGTGTAAATGTTTCCATGCAACTCTTTAGACTATGAAATATGAACCTCGCTTGTTTGTCTGCTATATTGATCTCTTTAACTGTACAATACTGCCTCCCCCATTATTTTGTCTCTTCTGTTTCTAAGCTGTGAAATAACTGTAAAATAATCGTGTAAATGTTTCCATGCAACTCTTTAGACTATGACATGACCACAGATGGTTTGAGTCTGAAAGTTATCGGCAGTTATTTTTATCCACTCTTTCATAAAGCCACAACAATGAAGTGCCAGACTTTGGGTGTTTTGTGCGTTCTGAACTTGAACTTTGACTCTTGAGGGTGATGTTTTGACTCATGGAGATCATGCTTAGAACTGCAACATGTGTCTTCTGAAAAGGTTAGTTATGCTTTGCTGCAAGTTTGTGTTCTGATGGTTCAGATGGTGTTTTGGAAGTGAAAAATCATTTGTTGGAGATATCGATTGTCTTTGCAAAGGTTGAAAGACTGAAAACAAATCAAAGTCTTGCTTTGATGTTTTAGTGATTTTCCCCTTTTATGAAATATTCCAGCACACATGTGGTTTTTCTAATGCACCTTGAAAGCTGGTCTGGTCATCTTGTTCCCCTGTCATCTGTAGGGGACATTGGCAACTTACTGGATAAAATTTTTCATCTGATTCTCCCCCATTTTGAAGCCCATGGTTGCTTTGGGCTCCACATACTTCTGTGGAAGTTATGCCAATTTGTCAGTCCTGTAAGAATTTGTATTACCACCGTATTTGTGTATTTTAAACAGTGTAAATAAATGAATTACTTGTACTTGTGGTTGCATTTTGTTTTTATCAGTAAATAATTAGTGGGGCAAGTTGTTTTGTGCTGCTGTCATAAAATTAAAATTCTGTGCATATGTGCATAGGGTATAGGCAATTAAATGTAGTTGGTTTTGCTTAATCACCATTAAGATTTTATTACTTTTGAAAACATTGTCCTGTTTTCTAGAAAGAACTGGGTTGTGTAGTTCATGCCAGTATCAGAGTTACTGCCATTGATACCTCAGGCAGTATAGTAACCCACTATTCCTGTGTCACTGTGAATTTCTCATGATCGTGTTCTCCAGTAGGCTTGGAGCTTCATCTTTCTTTCCTCTATGCTAAACCCACTATCTTACTGCCATTTTTTGTTTTTAGCTCCAATCTACTATCTATTTTTCATGCTGTTCTCTTCACATGCATCTGTAATCAATTTGTCTCCTATGCATCTAATACCATAGTTGTACTGAAACATCCAAAATTGCTTTTGTGTCATCATAGATAATACAATGTGCTATGTCTTGTTGCTCTGCTTAAGTACTTTAGTCACTCTACATTAACTGTTTCAGCTTACTTTAGCTTAACATTTGTGTTAACTTGATAATTTAAGCAAGTTTAGATTTAAACTCCACAGCAAGGGTAGAGATTTAGGAGCAGGATTGATCACCTTGCTGGTTTACCTCACTGTTTCAGACAAGCCGCTGCTTAAGGTGCATTTACAGAATGACACCAGCTGGACTGAACTGCAAATACTGCACAAATCCTGTGCTAATAGGATCTAGACTGTCTTACTGTAGGAGTAAACATTGTGGTCATTTACAATTTTCACTACCCTTCTTTTACTAGCATAATTTCTGGGCAAATCAGTTCACTCAGTAATTTAATGTATCATTTTTAAATTGAATTCCAAATAAAGTGGGGGATTGAGTCATGTCAGCTTGAAGTAAAAAAACAAAACACCATAACATGAGTCAAGGTCCAGGGCAGAGGGAAGGATATTTATTTTGTAAAATAATTCACAAATTTTGTATGGCTACAAATGCTTAAGGTGCATTTACAGAATGACACCAGCTGGACTGAACTGCAAATACTGCACAAATCCTGTGCTAATAGGATCTAGACTGTCTTACTGTAGGAGTAAACATTGTGGTCATTTACAATTTTCACTACCCTTCTTTTACTAGCATAATTTCTGGGCAAATCAGTTCACTCAGTGATTTAATGTATCATTTTTAATTGAATTCCAAATAAAGTGGGGGATTGAGTCATGTCAGCTTGAAGTAAAAAAACTAAACAAAACACCATAACATGAGTCAAGGTCCAGGGCAGAGGGAAGGATATTTATTTTGTAAAATAATTCACAAATTTTGTATGGCTACAAAACTTAAGGCACAACCAAAAACAGCTCAAGTGTCTTTAGAACGCAGTAAAAGAGGGTCCCTACTCATACAGTGCTGGTGAAAAACAAAAGTTTAGAAGGGTTTTATCCATACTACCATTTTCATAAATCTTGTAGTACTAAATAATAAAAAAATTGCTTTCCACTATAAAAATATATTCTGTTTTCCAAAAAAAAAAAAAAAAAAGCATTTGAGTCAATGTTGATTGAACTGAAAATAAATGTTACATAACCAACATATCACAAGTATATGTGGTCCTCTCCTGATTGATGCAGTTGATCTGAAAACACTGACATTTAGATGAATAAAATACAAATAAATAAAGTGGAGCTGCCAACTGACATCAACAAATACTGAATCTATACAAGGAAGTTAAAATTAACAATAGCAAAAACCCAAACACTATAAAAATTATGTAACCGCTTTGTCCTCCAATAATATGTACTTTGAAACGGTTCACAAAAATACAAGCATGTCTGAACTGTGTACATCCCTCAACAATGTATCCAGTTTAAAAAGACTAACTAGGATCCTCATTTGCATGTCATTTCTATTTGTCTGAAATACAGGACTTTAATACAATCCTGTGCTCTCCCAGGACCAGTTTAAAACGTTACAGATGACAATATATTCTAAATCCACATTAGCAAACACTGAATGCCACAAAGACACAAGCTGGTAATATTCAGTATAATGCTGGTGACCTGCTCTGATGTGGAGTGTTTACTGGCCAAAACTCTGATGCCGCAGTATAAATCTATTCTATTTTTATAACAAGAACCTTTTGAGAACATATGGATATGACATCTGCTAACATACAAGGCAGTGGTCGGCCTAAAAATGGCTAAATCGGAACTGCAGAGCAGGTCTAAAAGCGGTCCTCTGCAACCACACTTGAAGCTCGATACAAAAAGCATACACTACAACAAACGCACGTTCATGAGTCCTACAAGGGAAGCTCGGTCATATCTATTGTTCTAGTATCTTCACAGAGAGGATTCAGGTTCTACAACCACACCATTTGGTTCAGTCACCTTTTTGGAAGCGTTCTCCACCTCTATCGAGTCCACCCCTATGCTTTCAGGCTCCTCAACCTTTTTATCATCAGATTTTGTCATTACTTCATGTTCGATGGCTTGCTTCTTCCCGTTTTCACCACCTCCGTTGTCTTGGTTGTCCTTTGGTGCTTTGTTGAGCTCCTCCATCTCTGTCTCGGTAATGGCCATCTCCATCTTTGCTGGAGGGTCAGGCTGTTGGGGCTTCCTTTTGATGAAGAGCATGTTACAAATGGCGAGCACAAGGGCCGAGAGGACCACCTCGCACCCAGCCAGCAGGAAGACGAACATGTAATTATTTGTGGCGTCCAGAAGACGACCTGTGAAACGAAACAAGAGAAGCATGATAAACTACCCACATGGATTGGCCAATTGTGGCGGCAGCCCTGACAGGTCACCAGGGCACACGTCAATGACCTATGAGCGGCAGCTGTCATTGTTGGGACAACTATAACATCCATTTGTTGTGTTTGGAGGTCTAAACAATCCAAATAAGGAATTAACATATGGTATTGTACAAATATAAGGCCCTTCCAACACTAAACAAAGGGTTCTTGTAAAGGTACATAAAGGGCCACCTGCATTCCAACAATATTTTTGTTTTTGACCATTTGCAAAGAGAATGTGGTTTTCTTTGGTAGGTAATCTAAAAGACTAGAGGAGATACTTTGGTCATGTAATTGTATGTTTTAGTTGATTCATTGCTTGTCTTATGACTTCTCTTTAACAGCACAGAAAATAAATGACTCTGACCTGCTCCAGGTGGTCCCACCAACACAGCAATGGCTTCAACCAACAGCACCAAGCCAATGGCACTGGAGAACTTCTCTGTCCCCACAATGGCCATCAACACTTCAAACTGTAAGGCTCCAACCATGCCATAGGAGACACCGAAGAAGATGCAGAACACCACAAGAGATGGATAGTCTTTGGCCATGGAGCCGATAATATCAGTAGTGCCATTAAAGATCATAGCGAAACTGAAGAGGTAAACGCATCGTGGCCGAACCCACTTGAGCCCAGCGATGATACCGCATGTTGGCCTGGCGAAGATATCGATGAACCCTAGTATGGTGAGCAGCAAGGCAGACTTGGTGTCTTCATTGCCCAGTTCCTTGGCATAGCTTACCACAAACACAGGAGGCACAAAAAGACCCAACACCATAATGGCCGCAGCCACAGTGTAAATCAAAAAGCCACGATCTTTAAAGACGGTGAAGTCAAGAAGCTTAGGCTTTGGTTTGGATTCCTTCTTTTCGTCCACCTCGCTTGTTTTTTTGGGTGCTTTCAAGGGCCTCATTAGGGCTCCACATGCACAGCAGTTCAGTAGAATCCCTCCAAGGATTAGGAAGCCTCCACGCCAACCATACTCATATTGAAGAACCTGACCAAGAGGAGACAAACAGCACAGAGCCACGGGACTTCCAGCTGCAGCCAACCCATTGGCCAAGGGCCTTTTCTCACTGAAATATCTGTTCAGCATGATGAGGGATGGCTGAAAGTTCAGAGCAAGACCCAAACCTGGAGAACATAGTTTGAGGGTGTTAATGCTTTGAAATGAAGTACATCAGAATTCCATAAGTATTCACAAAACAGTACTCACCGGTTATGACTCCTGTGCCGAGATAGATGTGGATGATGTTGGTTGCAAAAGATGCCATAACCATACCAAGTGAGGCAAAAAGGCCCCCGACCATCATCACAGGGCGACACCCGAAACGGTTCACTAGGATGCTGCATATAGGCCCTGCAACAAGCAAACTACTGTTAGCATGCAGAATCATGATTTCCAAGAAAGAATAGGACGATAATACTATAAGATCCTTCTTGTGGACCTGCAATTTGAAAACCCACTTAGCCACAAAATATTCTCATCTATCCCTGCTGTCAGTGGACATCTGTACCTGAGCCATAAAGCATTGCAAGAAGTATAGAGGAGATCCAAGCCGTGTCACTGTAGCCCACTCCAAACTCCCGGATAAGCTCTTTGAAGAAGACGCTGACTGCTTTGGGAAAGGCGTAGGAGAAACCTGTAATGATGAAGCAGCCGAAGAGGACAGCCCAACCCCACCCTCCATCAGGTGCCTTGACCCCACTGTCACCAGTGTCTACAACCGCTCCACCCATGATGCTTTGTACAGGTCAGGTCTCAACTGCAACAAAAAGTGTCACAAAACTTGTGTCATTGATGGTGCTTAATTCAACAGGAAAGTTAGAGTACTTGACCTGATTGGTCAACATGACTTTAAATATATTAATTGACTAATGCTTATGGATAATTAATGCTGAACTGCCAAAATCATGCTTGTTTACTGAATATCCCTGTACAGCTAGATCTGTTCTGTTTGCCTGGCACACTGGATTCACAACCTACCTCATTCATGTTCCTGCCAAAAACTGTTCTCGTAATTCTAGGTACAACATGTTGAATGTAATACTCACCAAGTATCAAAACAAATTACAACTTTAAAAAAAAAAAAAAACAGCAACAAGTAGTTTTTCTTTCAGATCACAGAGTTAATTATATGGCTTCTAACCCAGAGTTTCCCCATTCCTGATCCTGGAACACTGCCAGCACTTTACTTTTTATGTTTCCCTTATTTACACACCTAATTCAGTTCATGAGCACTCAACTAATGACCTGATGAGTTGAATCATGGGCGTTAAATGCGGAAGGAATCCAAAATGTGTAATGTGGGGGGTGCTCCAGGACCAGGATTAGCAAACACTTCTGTAGCCTACTATGCAATGCGTGAACTGTTGTGCCCTTTCAAATGTCTCTCAACAGGAGGAGCTGCCAGACAGCTGTTGATGGCTACCCAACTTCCTGAAGACATTTGTCATCTTGCTTGTGATTTCTTTTGCCTCATTTCTACCCAAAAATAAATAAATACCACACACACACACACCACAACTTGATTTGAACATAATATGAAGATAATGTAGCACATACTGCTATAAAAGCCATTACAGAATGGTCAGCCTTCTTATACTGACCTTGTTAAAGGGCAAGACTACTCCATGACTCATTGAACTAAAGAGACTGATCAATGAATGCTCATACATACTCATTTAAAACAAAAAGCTAATGGACACCTGGTCCTTTGTAAATCTATACGTGAACTCTGAAACTATTCATCTGGATACCAAGAACAACTGTGGTATTTTGTACTATACATGTACAATAAATAAAATAATTGTTTTTTTTAATGTAAGGCAGTTAAACCACTTAAGTATTACCACTATTACTTAACTTACTATTAGCGACATGCAAGTAAACAAAAAATAGAGTTTGCTCAATGTGTTACATATGTGGAAATTAGTGGATCAAGAACTATGATGTAGAAGAGCAGCATTCAGTAAGAGAAAGTCATGCAACCAACATATGTATGACCTACCTTGCTTAAGGTCCCTGAAAACTGATTCTCTAACTGTTCTGAACCTCCCACATATCTACCTCATCTAGAGGCAAGCAGGGGGTGGGGGCTGAGGGGCACACCTCTGTACCCTACCAGCCTAAATTAAGACTCTGACATTTCTTCATGTGGTACTGATTGCAATAACCAGAATCACCTCCCATGAGGTTAAGAGTAACCTCACAAGTGTCTTGTGTTTATCCTCATCTTATGTAGATTTTTATACAAAATTTGTGGTTGGGATTTAAATTATGTTTGCTTAAGGAGGAATTATGTAGGGTTAGGATTCATTTTAGAAAGGTCATTGAATTGTTTCTCTGAAACAGGTCCCAGCTGGCACTGACTTTGTTAATTATGGATGCTTCTTGTCACGTCCATACTAATTAGCAAAACGGCTGATTCTAATCTGTCAGTTGCA